ATGCGTTCGGACAAATTACATGTAGATATTTGTCCGGACAAATTAGAAATTCGTTCGGACAAATTAGATATTTGTTCGGACAAATTAGAAATCCATTCGGACGAATTAGATATTTTTTCGGATTAATTAGAAATTCGTTCGAATTAGATATTTGTTCGAACATTTTAGATATTTTTCGGACAAATTATAGATTTGTTCGGAGAAATTAGAAATTCGTTCGGACAAATTAGATGTTCGTTTGGACAAACTAGATATTTGTTCAGACGAATTAAATATTTGTTTGGACAAATAAGATATTTGTTTGGACAAATTAGAAATTCGTTCGGACAAATTAGGTATTTGTGACAAATTAAAATTTTGTTCGCACAAATTAGTACTTTGTTATAAAAGTTCATGTGAATTTTGACAAATTGTCTAATCTTGAGAGTTGTATACCTGCGAATTTAGCAAGACTTATCCCCTCTTTCAAGGTTATAAATATATATTACAGAGAGGGTTAAATATATGCGTTTTTAAATTAATACATGCACCAAATTATGTGGCTGTTTGAGCCAATAGCATAAACACGTTGGAAAAAGTCATGTGATATTAAAGTCAGCTGAGTTGATTCCAAGTTTTCGGAAATACTAGTCCCAATGGTCCGCGACTCCAAGGTTTATTGGTAAATTAAATGCAATAGAAATGATTTTATTTATTAAACATGTAGCTATAGCAAGTGCTCGTCAACTTCTATGAGGAAAAGGGGTTTACCCTGACACACACAAACGCTTTGTCGTAAATTAATATTAGCGTCTACCAAAGCACTGTTTGCTGGTGGTGATGAAATTCCTGAAGTGGGGTACCAGTGGTCAGTTACCACTTTTGTGGAAAAAACAAAATACTACGAGATCCACCCCTCAAGTTTTTATGCCAAAATAAACATCGAACTCGGAAACATCGACGTCCCCTGTCCCCAAGGTCTAAAAGTTTTACAAACACAAAATTTGAAGTTTTGTTTCCACACTGGTTACTAAATGAATAAACGTCGGGCTCGGAAACACCGACATCCCATGTCCCCATTCTCAGACTTTCAGTTTTACAAACACATTGAAGTTTTGTTTCCACACTGGTTTTTCCTAACATAACTATGCTTTGATGAAGGAATTAAAAGGGGGAGGGGATCATAATTCCATCTTCTACAGAGTATAACTTAGATGTGTAAAAACTCTTAGACTTATTTATATTTTAATTTCATGAACGTACATGTACGTATATATGTAATTAAAAAAACAAAGAACATGCAAAAAGACTTGTTGTAAATAATGACCTAATTTGCCCCCCCCCCCCTCCCCCCGCAGAAAAGAACTTTTTTTTTTAAGTAAAAGGTCATTAATTTACATTTCAATAAAACTCAGCAAGGGGTTCTAGAAAGCGTATTGTAATGGAGTCTTCAAAGCACAAATATACTATGATTTAAATTTCGCCATGATTAGGCAATTGATTGATATTTGGGGTGGGGGTGGGTCTTGAAAAACCTTTGGCAAAGAAAAGGTTAAAATGCTAGTAGATTATTTCAACCTTTATATCCTTTTCGGCTTAATTAAAAAAAGTTCTGGTAGGTTCCTTTTTCTTTTTTTCTTTCAGATAGTTGCTAGTGTCAGTTGAGTTGGTTTTGGAATAGTCCGGAGTGAGTCATTGGCCTAGTATCAAACCTTCGAACTAGTGCTGTGAAACCATATAAACTTTAAAAATGCTGTAACGGAGATTCAAAAATACTTTGTCCGACTACTTTCAGCTTCTAAATAATGCCAGGGTGGGGTCGGGACTATATGTATGCTCTCTGAAGCTATTGGCTAGTTTAAATTGCATTATTTCCATGCATTATAATAATATAATTTAATTTTGTTTGTATTCTAGCCTCTGATTGGTTAATATCCAAAAAGGAACACAAATTATTTCTGTATAACCTGGTTTGGTATGGGGACAACCACCCCCCCCCCCCACCCCACCCCACCCCGACAACCAGCTGAATCATCTGTATCCATACAATCCTCTCATTTCCAGTCCTCGGGATTCATGGAAAATTTCAGATTTAATGAATGTACGTTTAATTTCAAACAATAATTCGATCTTACCACATGTAATCAACCAACATGGCTGCTAGGCCTATGTATCAGTTTTTGCCTCCCCTCGATTCCCGTCACTTCCGTTATTTCCGTTACTATGGTTGTATTATTGAGCGGCAAATTTGAACTAATAAAAAGTAACGAAATTTTACACCCATAGTTATTTAATGATTTTAAAATTAAATTATAAGGAATGACTCTAATTCTTGGCCAATCGCGGATTATAAAGCGTAAACTGACCCAAACCAGGTTATACGCGAATAATTTGGCCAAGAATTAGAGTCATTCCTAAAATAGACAATACTTTTTGACTCTCAGCACATAATATTTAAACATGTTTTCACGGCTGTGCGACTATATTTCAATCTACGACTTTTCAATGTTGTTTCGTCCCATGTTTTCCTCAGTTCTACGCATATTTTTTTTCGAGTGTTTAATATAACATTTTCATTTTTGTGAAGTTTTCTTAACAAACACGCACAAATTAAAAAAAAAAAACTCATTGAAGACCATTTCCTTTCATCATGTACATCGCACATATACCAGTAATATCACTCACACGCCGAAAACAATGCATGTGCCTTTCAGCATAGTGAATGAAAAAGAAAATATAAAAAGAAAAGGAAGAACAGAAATACAAGATTTCATATCAGCCAAATATTTATTGATCTTAATTGTTATTATTATTCTTCATTACTTAAAGCATGTGTTTGCAAAGCATTGAAATATATTTTATTAATCTTAGCCTACATGTGGGATGGAATGTCTCGGTGCAAATAAGATGTTGATCGAGGCTGTCACCTACTGCTAATTTTCTTAATTCGTCCGAACAAAAAAAAACTTATTTGTTCGGACAAATGAGTTATTTGTTTTGACAGATATTAAATCATCCGAACGAATTTTTATAATTTGTCCTAACAAATATCTAATTCGTCCGAACAAATACGTTTAATTCGTCAGAACAAATATCTAATTCGTCTGAACAATATCTAATATGTCCAAACGAATATCTAATTTGTCCGAACGAATTTCTAATTTGTCCGAACGAATTTCTAATTCGTCCGAACGAATTTCTAATTCGTCCGAACAAATATCTAATTCGTCCGAACAAGCATGTAAATTGTCCGAACGAATATCTAATTTGTCCGAAGGAATTTCTTATTTGTTCGAACAAATATCTAGTTTGTCCGAACAAATATTTTATTTGTCCGAACAAATAAATTTTTTTTTATCGAGTTCTCCAATGGCACCGTACATTCGGTCTATTATACAAATATTATCATTTACAGAGGTCCATAGATTTTATAAGAAAATATGTTCCGTGTTCCTATTTCAATAATCAATACAAATAAATTTAAATAAATCATGGATTTTAACTTTAAAAATCATTTTTATAATTTGTAATTTTATTTAAGTACTACTCATGCACAGATAAGAAGTTGTGTAATTTGTTTAAAAAAGGTTCTAAAGGGTGTGTTCCCGTTTCGCCTTAACTGTGAAATATAGGTAAGAGAAAGTAAAAAAAGAAAGTACTAAGGCGAACTGGGAATTTCTTAATTATACTATTGTAAAAACAAACCTTGAAAATTGATGAGGTGTTTTTATAATATTTATTTAATTACACAGTTTTTGGTATTTAAAATGATTCGTTAGTCATTGTACATGTTGTACATTTGAAAATAAAAAAAAAATAAATTCAACTTAAAATGGGAATTAATGTATGCATAGAGTGAATAAGGTAATATTATTTTTTATATGTAATAGTCACTATTTTATAAAATTAATTATTTCTATTGATGTTCTCTTTAACAATGTGCTCCTTTATTTTTATCACTATTAATAAGCATATTGTTAAAAATAAATGAAATATTAAATGATAATAAATGATATTTAAAATAAAACTTTGTTATCTTTTCGTCAACTCTACCTCCACAAGAGTTTCATAAAATCACTAATACCTCAATTTAAGATTCATAATAATTCTGCTATACACAAACAATATTTTTAGACTTGATTAGATGTTTATACAAGTTCCCATATCGCATTAATTTACCTCAGAGCTTACTAAGGCGAAATGGGAATACCAAATTTTACAGATAAGGCGAAATGGGAAAAAACCTTCTAAAGATAATGTGTGAGTCTCTCTGAAATAGGGGATGCTTTTCATGAAAACATAGCATACACATATTCCTTACTTTCTATTTTTTTTTAAAGGTCCCGATGTTTCAAACAGGATGTGTACTGCTCTGAGATATCAATATAATTGTGTTTTACATATAACCAATTAGGAAACAACTCTAATAGAAAATTTTATTGCCATTTTCCAGTAGGTGGAAGGGTAAAAACTTAAGTGTTTCAAGTTCTTAAGTCGATGATAACACTGTTTTACATGAGAGAGAGAGAGAGAGAGCAACACTAAACTAACATATCAAAATAGTGATTAAATGTAGATTAATAAGCACAGTAATTTTGCCACACCATAAACTTGATAACTAAGGCATTGTCTCTCTGAAAATATACTCTGAACATATTGAAATATAAAGGCATCAAATTAAAAAAAAAATAGACCAAATATGAAAATTTGGTTATGAAAATTTTATACAAATGTAATGAAAAAAGAAATATAAAGTTAATATAGAAAAGTAAGATCGAATATTATGATAGTTGGGAAATGGAGCACTTATAATAAAAAAGTTACATCGTCAAAAGAGATGAATGTTTAAAACAGAAACGTGGATCATCTCTATAAACTGAAAAAAAGTTATTTGGGTTAATATTGAAATACTCAGTACATGTAAGATAAACGACCTTTTTGGAGAGTGTATTGATTAAAAAAGAACTAATGCTTATGGAATCCTTTTCATTTGATAACATCATACGTAGAGGGTCCTTTACTGTCACCAAGCTCTTGGTATTCACTTTTGTCATTTTCATTGGTCTTTACATCGACGCAACTAATTTCACACTGAGGAATCTGACTTTCACGAAGTGTTTTTCGTGTTTCCATCCCATTCTTACGCCTTCTGTAGAAAAAGGACATAACTGATCATGTAGAATTATTCACGATTACTGATTTCTGGAAAGTAACTATAAAATGTGTATTGTTTTGCTATTTACAAATTAATAATAAGGAAAAAAAAGATTCTTCGTGAAACACTGATGCCCCTGTATGGAAGCTTATGGCAAAGATGAAAGTTTCTCGAATGCAAGTCAAACTCAAAGGTCAAATGATCAAAGATGTTGGTCTTGTAACAAAGAATACACCTGTGATATATGAATGCCCTAGCACCGACGTATTAAAGTTATGGCCAAGGTAAAAATTTTACAAAAGTAGGTCAGACTTCAAGGTCAAGGTCAAAGGGTCAAAATTATTGGTACCCTTTAGAGGGTCTTTAACAAGGAATGCACATTCATGATACGAAAGCCCTAGCTCCAACCATTCAAACTTATGGACAAAGTTTTTCTTAAAATAGGGTTAAACTCCAATGTCAAGGTCAAAAGGTCAAAAATATTCATATCCAACGACAGGTCTTGTCACAAAAAATACACATCTTAAGTATGAAAGCCCTAGCTTCGACTGTTCAAAAGTTATGGCCAAGGCTACAGTTTTGTAAAATTTTGCAAAACTTGGCCAAACTTCAAGGTCAAGGTTAAGAGGTCAAATATGTTGATACCCAAAGAAAGGTCTTGTCACAAGAGATACATATCTGAAATATGAAAGCCATAGCTTTAACCCTTCAAAACTTATGAGCAATGTTAATGTTCTTGACAGACGGGCGGACAGAGCAAAAACCATGTGCCCAAAAACTTCGATTAACTGGGCATAAAAATAGACCGAAGGGTTTGATTTACATAATCTTGACGCTTTACTCACCGTTGTAGTAACATAACTACTATAAACACGATGAGGACGGCCACGCATACACAAAGTGCAGCTAGAACTCCATAAAATCGGGATTGCCAGTCAGACCCTTCTTTCCCTTGAACTATTAAGTTAAAAAAAGTAGCCTTTTATAACATTTTCAAAAGTGAAATACCTTTATTTTATTGAATAAAAGTGATAATTTGTCACAGTGTGAAAAAAATATCAGAAGTGCGTCAAGGCTCTTCTTTCCCTTGAACTATAAATAAGAAATACTAGATGCTGTAATGAGTCAGTAATACCCGCACTAAGGTGTTTGCCTTTAAATGCACACTCCTTCATATTGGGCTTACCAAGGAAAAAGTCAAAATAATTCTATAATTTACACAGTACATGTACATGTATTCGTCAGTTCGATCATGAAAATGCTCTGGTGACCATGTGACCTATGAGCCTCTTATTGGTATTTCCTTTACTTAATTAATTCATTACCAGCCTGAAATAACAGAATTTAATTAATGATGTAAATCAGGTTTTGATAAAAGGGGTGTATAAATTTTTGTCCCATAATTGGGACTTTTTAAATTTATTTTCTCAACAACAAATAATATTATTTTAGTAATAGCGTTTTTGATGAATTTATCAAAATGTGCAAAATTTTTATTTAGTATTTGATTAGACAAAAACCTCCTTGAAAAGTCATACCCAATCAATTTTGTCACCCCCCCCCCCAACCCAACACACACACACACAAATTGCCTGTTTTGGAAATAGGCCTAGATGGCAAAGTTACGTTAAAACATCGTTTGTTATGATATTTTAAAATTTGTTCTTGTACTGTACATGTATGTGAACACCGTTTTGTAAATTTCTACATTACATTGGGCTTGCGTCACCCTACTAGTACTAGCTTTACCATTATCATTGCACATAGTGCAGCGTGGTGTATACATCGTTACATGTATATCAGTAGAAATTAATTCATTTTGTGTTTTAATTGGATTATATTTCATGAAGTTGACAGGACTTATGACAGTCGGTAAGTATAAGTTTAAGTATTGAATGGGGTAAAATATCCGAAATACAAATGGTTAGGTAAAAGTTTAAAAAGGATCAAAGATCATCGGATGCCGCAATAGACGAATTTCACTTTCTGAAGTGTTATCTCCCGTTGTTGACATTACATTCAGTTACAGGCACAGATCCAAGAATTTTTTTCCGGGAAAAAACAAACAAACAAACAAACAAAATAAACAATGATGGTGGGGACCATGTTTTTAAAGGGGGGAGGGCATCCAAAGTCATTTTTATTTGCTTCTGTAAATCACTATATAGTCCTATTAAAATAACTCTGCAAATTCCAGGGGGGGGGGGGGGTCCAATCTCCCTAGCCGCTCCCTGTCCCTGAAATGACAAATGATCATGTGACTCCAAAATAGTAGAAAACAACAAACAAACATTATTGACTTAAAAAACACAATATACATGTACATGTTTATTAGTCAACGGATATACTTGATCATATCTCTCTCTTTCTTTTTTTTTAAATACCAATTGTCACATACATGTTTATAATATGGCATTACAACATTATATCATTAATGAATATAATAAACAAATACACAAAAATCTTATAATAGTGACAATTGAGAGAGGGAGGGAGAGAAAGAAAGAGAGAAGGAGAGAGAGGGGAGGGGATTGAGAAAGGTAAAAAAAAGGAGCATGATCATAGAGAAATGTCTGTTCATTAAAGTATTGGTAGTGTATGTCCAAGCATTGCAAAATGTCTTTAAGTGCCTAGTCGCAGGGTCTTACATAAGTGAAAGCCAATTTTTCCATTTAATATTAAACTCATTAATTTGATTACTTTTTGTTGCACTATATTTAATGGTAGTTAGTAATGTTTTAAAATCTCCACGTAATCTTTGTAGTCTTAAAACCTGGTCATATCTCTAGTTCTTCCTTGAATCAGAAATGAATGATATAAATATTTAAGAATGATTAAGAGTTGAAAAGGTTGTGCATTTTAAAATTGACTAAGCTCTGTGGTTGAATTAACTATACCAGTTTAGCTTATTTTGCTATTCATCAAACTTCATATGCTGATAAATACTGCTGAGCGCTATCAATTTATCAATGCATCAACATTTTTTACCTTGACTTTTCCTTTGACCTTAACCTCACTTTTTTTTTAAATTAGTGTTTATCTACATTTGAAATAAACCATTTATGATATTTTTATCAAACTTCATATGCTAATAGTAAATACATACTGATGTAAGCTTTTTCAACTGCATCAGCATTTTGACCTGAACCTTTCCTTTGACCTTGACCTCTCTTTTCTCAAATAAGTGCTGTGCTCAGATTTAAATAAATCATTCAAGATATTTTTTATCAAATTTAATATGCTGATATGTATTAGTGAGGGATATTCAACTGCATCAAAAACTTTTCTCCTTACACTTTCCTGAAACCTTGACCTCCCTTCTCTTTAATTTGTATTTTGCTTAGTTTTAAAGAAACAATCTAAGATATTTTTATGTAAGCATGCACTTTTACATAATTTGGTGAGATTTTATCATTTATATCAATTTTTTTAGATTATACTTTCAAATTTTAAAGAAACTGTTCAAGATATTCCCTTCAAACTCCATACACCCATACAAATTTTCTTGTTGGATTTATTTTAGTAATATACATTCGGCGGGGCATTTATGTCCTATGGACATATTTCTAGTTTTCAAATCATGACCTCCAAGGATAGGGTCAGGCCACAATAAGGGATCAAAATTTTATATAGGAATAAAAGGAAAAAAAATCTTCAAAATTCTTCTTTTCAAGAACAACAAAAGCATGATTAATATGGAAACATTCCCAAGAAGTGTAGATTCAAGTTTGTACAAATCATGACCCCATGGGTTACGGAGGGGCCATTTTTTTTCCCGCCCCTATTTGCCATCCACATGGAAATGCAAATTTTAAAATCGATTTACACATTCACAGGAAAAAATCAACCATCTTCCAAATGATCATGATTTAAGGCTAGTGCATAAAATATTAGGGAAGTTCTGGAAACCAGGGTGTTTAAACATGTTAAATATATATTTTTTTAATTGACCCCCTTTTGACCCCCAGGGGGGAAATAAAAATTCCGAAACCTTACTGCACATCTACATGACATCACCAACCATCTCCCAAAAGATGATTAGGTTACTGTGTAAAATGTAAGAAGAGTTCAGGGAACCAGGGGCTTTTTGCATTAAAAAACGTCATTTTTCGACCCCCATTTGACCCCCAGGGTGAAATGAAAATTCCTAAACCTTACTGCACATCTACATGACACCAACAACCATCTCCCAAAAGATGATTAGGCTACTGTGTAAAATTTAAGAGGAGTTTGAGAAAGAAGAGTGTGACAGACGGACGGACGGATGGACAGACGAACGGACGGACGGACAAACAGGAGTAACAACAATATACCCGAACTTTCTTCAGAAAGTGTGGGTATAACAAGGCTACTGCTTGAAATATAAGGCTATTTGGGCGAGATCTTTATCATGTTTTCGACTCGAGCCCAAATATCACTTATATTTCAAGACAGCATCCATGTACGTTGTTTATCCTGCAATATATTTTTACATCAGACCTCCAAAAGGAGCTATTTTCAACCGATTTAAGTACATCTCTGCAGTTGAAACAAAGACGCTATCGCGTAAACATTGCAATGTGTATGACGACACAATGCTTTTAGAACGTCGGAATACATGCACGAGGCTTTTTCAGGGCATTGACCGAATAAAGCTTTGGTTTATTAGGTTACCTTTATAAGGTCAATGCAAAGGGTAGTTACAGGATAATATATAGAATACATGGATACTGTCTTGAAATATAAACGATATTTGGGCGAGGGTAAGAAAACGTTATAGAGGGCGAGACACTCTATTAGGGCATTGACAGAATAAAGCTTTGCTTTATTAGGTTACCTTTATTCAGTCAATGCAAGGGGTGGTTGCAGGATAAAAGACAGCGTGACACTTTATAACATATTCAAAAGTGAAATACCTTTATTTTTTTTAATAAAAGTGATATTTTGTCACAGTGTGAAAGAATATCAGAAGTGCGTTAAAACGCTGTGTTACAAAAAGGCAGAGGCAAAGAGAAAATCAAAGAAAAAGTAAAAAGCAGAAAATCAATATTTTGCAGATGAATTTATTTCACTCGTGAGACAAGTTTTTCTTTTTCTCCATATTTTCACTCGTACTTCGCACTCTTGAAAATATACATGGATACATGTAAAACAAAAATTCTGTACCACTGGTGAAATAAATTCCATATCCAATTATAATTTATAAAAAATATATTAGATGTGAATAAATATGTGTTGACTTATTGTACAGTGCAGAAAATTAATTTCCTACAGCATTGATACTGATATTTTTTGTCTGATTGACAATATGATGTTTTGAATGCTCATTTTGCATAACGATTCAATGCTGGTAATGCCACTTATCCTTATCCTAACACTTATCCCGATTCTAACTTTGCTGTTTTAGAACAAGTTCATTGCTGCCTTAAGTAGTATAATGCAAGCTGGATAAGTATGAAGTTCAACATGACAGTTTTGTAAAAAAGAAATCATTAATCTTTTCAAATGTACTCATCAAAATGTTTTTGTAGTTGGGAAAAAAACCCTCTGAAATTTCTTTTTCTAGTGGGTCAATACCGATTTTATGTAGATTAATGCTAGCTATGTTGGAACTGTTTATGTTTATTGACAATGCTGAAGATGATTCTGGCAATCTTTTTTTTTTCAATGCTGATGCTAAGGTTAGCTGGAAGGTGATGTTTTGTTTATGCTGATCACCGTTCTTAGTTTTCTGCAATATTGTCTTATGTAAACAGTCTTATTTTGATTGAACATATAAAATGTACGGTAAAATAATAACAATTATTGAACATAAAAGCCAAGATATTATATCATTCCATTTAATTTCTTCAATCATCTAAGCAAAATGGTAGAGAATGCCGAAAATACCAAAATTATGCGTTTTGAAAACCTATACATATGTTTTAGCTGTACAATTATTATAATCTCATGTCTTACTTTGAAAACAGTCGTGTCCTTGCCAGCCAGATTTGCATCCGTCTTTACAGGAACCAGTCACGTGGTTACAGTCACGTGATTTTTTGCAAAATATACTGCATTCTTCATCGCATTCATCTCCAAAATAACCGAAATTACAAACTGAAAAATATTTGAAAAAAAAAAAACCCACAAATTATCATAAATTATCAAAGTTTAGAATGGGGAATATGTTCCACATGAGTTCTGTTATAAATTGAGGGATTGGGCATTTTTCTACGTAGTAATGTTCACTGTGATAATATATACCAATAAACACAGAAAATGAAAGAAAGAAAATTTATAGGATTGATATTGGATCTTCAAAGCAATTGACATTTAGTAAGTATATTATGCAAATCTCCATTTACCCGTTCCAAAATTAATTTATTTACAGGACCATGTACGCAAACCTTATCTTACAGAATAATACATAATAAATTGTTCTTGATGTTGATATAAAGATAAGGAATGACATTACAATTAAGTCTTCCTATCTTGAACTTGATGGGACCGATATAAGAATTAGAGGATCGGAGATAACAAGGTTAAAAATCATCAAGAAAAATGCCGCCAAGACTGCCAAATCACTGTCATATATATATATATATATATATATATATATATATATATATATATATATATATATATATATATATATATATATATATATATATATATTCCTGGTATTCAAGATATCGATATGCTGGATGACGAAGTTCGAGTGGAAATCATATGCTAAATATTTCATAAATCAAAGTTATTGTCCAAAATATCAAAAGGGTAATTAATATACATTGTTTACCTTCATCGCACTTATCTCCCTTATATCCAAGTTTACAACCTCCTCTACAGGTTCCGTTCACGTGATTACATAGATGCTGATATCGACAACTGCCACATGCTTCCAAACAATCCAGACCGTACTGACTCTCCTCGCATTCTACGTCCATAATGAATAAATAAATTATTTTTTTTATCAAAGGTGTGATAAAAAAGCAAACAGATTTGATCATGAAATGTTTTAAGACACCAATAAATTATTTATCTACTCCAAACAATTTCCTGCATTAAAGAATAATTATGTATTGAGCAGGGACTTTGCAACACGATACTAAGAATAATTTCAATGTTCTGAATACTGTGACAACAATACAAGAGTACTCCACTTACATAATGTACATTATGATTCTTTTGTCATCAAAACTAACCTTAACAAAAAATGTGGTTTTGTATTAATTTGTGTGCAAATGAACGCACTAGTACTAGAATAAACAACATTATTCAAAAATCCAGAGCAGATGGCCCTATTGGATTCAATATCTTAGTTTCAAAATTGATGTACACTAGCTATTTCTCGTTCAGTTCCGACACTGCACCACATGCGTCCCCACCAAGAAAACATAATTCACATTTTACATATTTATTTTGTATGCAAAGTCTCAATACCCTAACTTGAATGGATTCATTTTTGCAAGTTAAACTTTGTTGCCTTTGAGGAAACAGATTTTCTAAGGCCCAGGAGGGGATGACAATACTTGTGTAGCAGATGCGCTATAACAATGACGTAAGGTCATACTATACGGTCTATATCATTGCACTTACCGCATTTGAGTAAAATACATTTTTACTTAATATTACTTTAAAATTGTATAGATAACGTCCCTCACTTTTTTGTCTTGATACGATCGACAAAAGAAAGTCTTTCGCAGGTTTTACTTCAGAAATATCCATTCCATTTAGGCCTATTAGAAAAGTTTTCCATTTAATAGAATACAATTTTTTAATGGCTAACTCGATTTGAAATTAAGAACGTTGGACTTTTAAACACTCATTGTATTCATATTGCCTTGCACTAAGTGCAAGGAATAGAATTGAGTTTAGACTTACCTAATTGTCTTTCTTTTTATTTTTAAGCGCATCTTACAAAATTAAACGAGTCCCTTTTGTGTTTTGTATGCTTTAAATTTTTCATGTTACCGTCATCACACAATGGTCCTTTCCATCCTGGCATGCAGCCGCCCTGGCATTGCCCGGTTGTTAGGTTGCATCTATTTGATACAGAACAATGTTCGCTACAAGTGTTCTCACAGTTAAAACCAAACTTTCCAGCTCTGCACCCTTTACACAAAGGAAGAAAAAAGTACATCGAAATGATATAATATATTATATACTTTATTGTCTACGGATTTTCCCCTTTACACAATCATGAGAAGGAGCACATGGTGGATGTGACCGGTCGACAGGGCATTCTTACTCCTCCATTGCACCTGAACCCACCTCTGTTGTTTTTAAAGGTTCGTGATGCTCCGACTGCTTTTCCCAACTTTATTGTTTCAATGAACTTTCTGCTTGATTACTATTCGTTATCACCATATTTCATCAAGTACTTTTTACTCAGATTGGTAAGGAACAAATTACTACAAAGATGTGCATTTAAACGGTGTCAAACAGCTAAATCTGAACTCTTGTTTGAAATATAACCAATATGTAAACCATGTTTAATAAATAAACGTTTTTGTTCTTTTAAAACTTGAAGGAAAAAAAAAAAACTCTTACCTTTTTGAAGTGCTATTTAATAGCATTTGTGATTAAAAAAAATAGAGAAAAAAAAAATCACCGTAAACTTCTACTTCACAGAGTTCAGCAACTGCGTATGAAGAATATCCACTAGGATAACTAATTCCTTGCAGTCGTTCGTTATAATAGATGACGTATTGTCCGTTTACAGGGCAGGTGATGTTGACTACGGCTGGAATAGTATATCTTGTGTATGTTGTATCATGGAAACATAAATGTCCTGAATTTTTGTCCGTTGTGTTGGAAACATAGACATAAAATCCTAAGAATCTTGATGTAAATTGGTTAAACTTATCTACAAATATAAAAAAAAAAGTCATACCGTGCAACAATATTTTTTTGTACACACTGATTGTTTCTACAAAATTTGACGAAGAGTTGCCTGTCTATTTATATGCGATTATGTGACTGTCTAGCTGACTCCCAGGTAATGGTTCCAAAATTACAGTGAAATATCACCAAGATGCACACTCTAAAATGGTATACAATCAATTAGATTGAAGGATGTCTTCTTTATAGGCGGATGATGACATTTTTTCCCTCTACCTTTACTAAAAGCGAGGGATTAAAGATAAAGTTTTGTCTGTCTCTCCCTCATTCTCTCTCTCTTTAACAATTTTCCGGATGATATCACTTACAATCTGTAAAATACTTCAGTTTGTGTTAGGAATTTATTTAATAATAATTTTCATTAAATTGAATAAGACTTTTTTTTTAAAGAGTCAAGTATCCAATTTATTTATTGTTTGGGATTTTTCGGAATTAATATTTTAAAACCAATTAGTTTTAAAATAAAAGCCCGAATCTTTACATTTTATGAAGGATAAAAGATCTCTATTTAGATCCCTAGTTAGGATGTTATCGGACATGGATATTTCTAGGTGCATTTAAGTTGCTGACTTTTTATCAAGTAAATTTTCCACTCTTGTCGGGTTCAAAAATGACAGGTTTTGTCTGATGTTTCGATTTATTAGTGAACACAAAGAACTTAAGAATTTTCATACTTATAACATTTAACATTGTTCCATTCCCTTTTTTCTCCCATATGGAATTATGTTATTATTTTTTTAAAATTAAATAATATAATAAAACATATTACTTGCCTCTCTAAATAAGATGCACTTTATTATTTCAATATGGTCCCGTGCTGGAGACAATAATACATGTAGCGGAAAAAAGAACGTGTATATTGTTTAAAGTATAAAATATAAGAATAAAATAGCAATGACGATACAATTAATTAAGTAGCATGATTTACAAATGTATTGTTTACAAATATGTGGAATTAATTTGTATTTACGTCATAAAAAGTGACTTGTAGGACCTTAGAAGGACACTACATGTAGTTCTTGAAAGATGATTATGTCTGTGCTGTTTGGCGTCCCTTTCGATATTTTTTTTTCATTCAGATTGAGACGCCACCACTTGCAGGTGGAGGACTACAAATTTAGACCTGTACTCGGCCTTTGAGCAATAGGGATTCTTTTTGTGCCAGCACCTGCTACGACATGGGACCTCAGTTTATACGTTCTCATTCGAAGGACCGGTCTCCACGTCTCACGCAGCACAGTTAAGGTGCCAAATGGAAATATCGGCGAATTTTTTAGACAGAAAACATATTCTTTACAAGGATGGGCATTTCTTTTAAGGACAACTACAATGTGGTTGAAAACTAAATCCTGAGGACGATTAGATTTCTTATTAAGACTTGTCACATGATGTGGCAGTCACGTGATTTTAGAAAATATATACCTGAAGTATTGAGGTCATCTATAAATTCTAATATTGCAAGGGCATAACCAAATTAAAAATCTAAGTTTAACATATAATTATTTTCAACACTCTTTGTAGTTTGTGAAAAGTGCTGCGAACCTATATAGATTCTACTATCTAATTGCTAAAATTACATTTGTTAGACCGTATGTTGAATATTTTGCTGGTCAAGTACATTAAATATAGATATAATTAATTCATTTGCAAGATTTCAACAGGTTCGCAGCACTTTTCAAATATCTTCATACTTCTTGAGTTTATGTGTAAAAGCTTGACATAATTAATTGAGGGTATGCCCTTGCAATATATCGATTTATTACGACCCTTCTATTACCCTTCAATGAATCTGCATACAAATATACGACAGTATCGCTTTTCTAGGGAATGTACGGAAAGTATATGAATAAAATCATAAAACAGACATCGCATCCAAGTTAATGGCCTCTTATATATCTATAATTTATATGTTATTTAATTACAAAATACATTTTTCATTGTATAAATATAACTTGATCCGCCTCTCACTGCATTTTATTTTTGTTAATATCAGCAAGTTTCTTTTCAATTTCAGGATTTGAATTATATCACTAAATAAGAATATTAAGAAAACTTCTAAAATTGATGTCATCTTGCCTACTATGACCTCATATTGTATCACCGATTTAGTCAAGTCAGATCGAATTAGTGCTTCCTCAATACACCTGCGCAAGAAACGCTCCCCATCTCGGCGATTAAGCCTCTGGAAAACGTTACCTCTGTCCAAATGAAATCTTGATTCATCATTGAACAAAGCTTTGCCCAAGTTTTGTATTCGGTAGCTCAGATGTCTCCGACATAATGCTAATCGTGCAGTTCGGTGACGCTGAAGCAGTAATGGACGTATAGCAGGACGTCTAGGTCTGAGGTTATGCTCACGCTGTCACGCAAGCGATCTCCTACAGTTCTTGCACTTAGGCTCCTAAGACCGGGGATGCTACGAGTACTTGCTGTCTGAAAACGATTTTGTAGACTCATGAGCCTGATATGGATATCTTGGCGAACCGACGTCATACAAGGACGTCCTTAACGTGGGTCGATCAAAAGTGTTGCCGAATTGTTTGAAACGTCCCCAAAATGACCGGATAGTGTTTCTGTGAAACCAAAATTGTCGTGCTTCAACGTTTTGGGCCATCCTAGCTTGCAGCATTCCAACAGCACTAAGACGTTGATTTTAATTTTCATTTCGACTTGGCATAGCACAGTTACAGGCTATTATAATTCCAAAGTTATTTTCTGAAGAAATCCGAAAAAATGTCTCACACCCTTTGACACAAAAAAATATTGCCTGAGATACCATGCAAATACCATTACATCAAAAACCATGTGCTTGTCCACCTTTAAAAGTCCTTGCGATAAAGTCGAGTTCGAGCCTATTGACTGATTCATTGATTTCAAAAAGGCGTTTGACTCTATTGACAGATATAAACTGTGGATCAAGTTATCAAAAGTGGGTATCCAAGGTAAATTGTTAAATATAATAAAAGCTCTGTATCATAATGTGAAAAATCTTGCATTGTGGTAAATGGTCAATTGAGTGATTTTATCTGTAACAATACTTGCT